AAAGTCATGACCAGCTGACCTCTTCAGCTGGAGAGGAGTGCTTGATGCCACTGGGAAAAGGCAAAGGGGGAGAAATCCTGAAAAGCTTCTGTTCTCCTTAGCCCTTTAACAAAAGCAAAGGTTCTTGCCCAAAAAGTTCCCTCACATTCTATTGTACATCCAGGAACCCCAGACCATAAGAAGTCTATGGAGCCTTGAATTCTACCATTGACACAGGTTGATACCCGAAGGCCTTAAAAGCAGCCAATCGGTTCACCACTATTAATGTGCCTGGCCAACTACATAATGACACGTTTTGGGGGCTGGTCTCCTGATTGTGGTGTGATCAGTTTAGGCACTGAAGGCTGTGGCTGGGATTTAAGCTGGTCTACATGTCCCCCGAGACTGATGCTCTGGAGGTCAGTCTTCCAGGGTCTGATTTAGCGGGTCTGTTACTCCTCATGACCCCATGGAGTTGTGAGGTTCACAGGGGTAAGGGAGGTTCATGAGTTTCTCCCATCAACCTCTCACAGCGGGGACACCACAGAAATTTGACTTAAGGTACACTGATTCCAGCTATGCTAGTCTCATAGCTGGAGTTGCATATCTTAGGTTGATTTTTTTTTCTCTTTTTTCCATGTAATATAGAGCTGGCCTAAGTAATGCACACAGTGAGGAAGCATTAGCATGTTCCATTTTGTCAAGAATCAGAAGGAAATGCCGGGTGAGAGTGGGGGTAGGGAAGTTATTTGTCCTGTTCATTTATAGTCTCTTCTGTCTGGGAGGTCCTTGGGTTTCTGTGCAGGAGACTGGACTTGGTGATGTGTTGAGGTTCCTTCCAGTTTTGTGATTCTGATTGCTACTTCGCCTTGGTGATCCAAACACAGACTAAAGGGAGTGCTTTAACAGCGTCTTCCTCTCCTCCCTCCTATCTGTGCCGAATGTCATCTCTGAGGAATATGAACTTCCACCCTGGAGTGAGCGAGCTTAATAGCACTCTAGTGAGTTGGGCAACACTATAGACTTCAGCGGCCCTCCCTTCCTGGCAGAATTCATATAAATGGGAATGAATGCAGGCCAGGGCAGCTCTTGCAAAAACACCCCTTCCTTGATCAATAGTAGCAATTCTCCCAGTGGGTGGGGCTGAGAATCCGAAGCATTCAAGTGGCTGAAGGGGTGTGTGAAACCGCAGGGTCGATGGTCACATTTCAACCTACAGCCAGCAATGTTCTGGATCTGGGTACAGTCCAGGAAGGCAGGTATTTTTAGTAACATACATGCATGATGTAATTATCAGGCGGTACTGAGAACACAGCCCGAACCATTGCAATGTTTCCTTTGACTGCAGTAGGGTGTGTGGTTCTTAGAACAATATTTGGGTGACCTTAGAGTGCGGCCATGCACGCTTGCTGGTGGTCACTTGGACAATCTTCCAAAGCCAAACCCCGCCGCCCAGGGGTTGAACCCCAAAGCCCTTGGAGCAGACAGGCGGATTCCCCTGGCCCCGCCCCCCCC